ACCAAAGGCATTTTAAAGGTTCATCACTACATTTATAATCTTCATAATCCTTGTTATCTCATACTTATCATATATTTCGTTCCTCAATTTCAAAGTAGACGATACATTTTTTTTAATCACAATTATCAATGCAAAATTCAACCATAAATAACTCTAATTTTCAATAAGTACAAAATTTTAAAAAGTTGAAATCAATAACTTAATACTAAAAGCGAAACCAGTGATGACACATGTCATTCACTGGTTAAAAATTTTCCCTCTATTTTTTCTTTCCTTTTTTTTTTGTGTTTTTTATTTTATTTTGTCAATTCTTCATGAAAATTATTTATAGCCTATAATATTCACCTAATGAAATATTCTTATATGTCTATATTTTTTTATATTAAGTAATTTTTGTAATTTTCTCCAATATTTCTACAATATTCTCATGCTAATATATCTATAATAATCTCATTCTAATATTATAATTTGGGAAAGCTTTACTTTTATATTAATCTCATGCTAATATTTTTTTATAAGAATATTTGATGTTTCATTATTTTCCTCACCTTACTTATATATCATAATAAAAACCTATGACTCACTCATTTTTAAGAATTTGATTTTTACATATAGAAAACTAAAGTTAAAGTTAACTAAACTTGTGTAAACCAATCTGTATGTCAAACTGTGTCAACAAAATAAGGACAGGATAGGGTATGTATATAGCATGGGTTCTAAATAATCAATAGACCCTATTTTTTATCCATATTTATAAAGTCTAACACATCAATAGCCTTAGAAATTTACATGCATCATTGTCAAAAAGAATCAATAACTTAATACTAAAAGCGAAACTAGTGATGACACATGTCATTCACTGGTTAAAAATTTTCCCTCTATTTTTTCTTTCCTTTTTTTTGTGTGTTTTTTATTTTATTTTGTCAATTCTTCATGAAAATTATTTATAGCCTATAATATTCACCTAATGAAATATTCTTATATGTCTATATTTTTTATATTAAGTAATTTTTGTAATTTTCTCCAAGATTTCTACAATATTCTCATGCTAATATTTCTATAATAATCTCATTCTTATATTATAATTTGGGAAAGCTTTACTTCTATATTAATCTCATGCTAATATTTTTTTATAAGAGTATTTGATGTTTCATTATTTTCCTCACCTTACTTATATATCATAATAAAAACCTATGACTCACTCATTTTTAAGAATTTGATTTTTACATATAGAAAACTAAAGTTAAATTTAACTAAACTTGTGTAAACCAATCTGTATGTCAAACTGCGTCAACAAAATAAGGACAGGATAGGGTATGTATATAGCATGGGTTCCAAATAATCAATAAACCCTATTTTTTTTCATATTTATAAAGTCTAACACATCAATAGCCTTAGAAATTTACATGCATCATTGTCAAAAAGAATCAATAATCAATAACTTAATACTAAAAGCGAAACCAGTGATGACACATGTCATTCACTGGTTAAAAATTTTCCCTCCATTTTTTTCTTTCCTTTTTTTTTTTGTGTTTTTTATTTTATTTTGTCAATTCTTCATGAAAATTATTTATAGCCTATAATATTCACCTAATGAAATATTCTTATATGTCTATATTTTTTATATTAAGTAATTTTTGTAATTTTCTCCAATATTTCTACAATATTCTCATGCTAATATTTATATAATAATCTCATTCTAATATTATAATTTGGGAAAGCTTTACTTCTATATTAATCTCATGCTAATATTTTTCTATAAGAGTATTTGATGTTTCATTATTTTCCTCACCTTACGTATATATCATAATAAAAACCTATGACTCACTCATTTTTAAGAATTTGATTTTTACATATAGAAAACTAAAGTTAAAGTTAACTAAACTTGTGTAAACCAATCTGTATGTCAAACTGCGTCAACAAAATAAGGACATGATAGGGTAAGTATATAGCATGGGTTCTAAATAATCAATAGACCCTATTTTTTTTTTCATATTTATAAAGTCTAGCACATCAATAGCCTTAGAAATTTACATGCATCATTGTCAAAAAAATGTTAATATAGCTATTGTTTTTTACGTTTATAAATGTAATTCTTTATTTATATATAATTGTTAAGTTAATGTTATAGTTTGTTAAATAATTTTATTAAAATCCGTGCATTGCACGGGACTTTAAGTAGTTTTGAATATACACATGAAGAGGATTCCAACAAGCAATTTCACTTGACTCTGTTTTTTTTTTCTTCTTATATAAATCAAAAAATTTAATCAAAGTAGAATTATTTCTGAATAATGTCAAAAGTCAAAATATATCATCTAATTTAAAACGACAAAAATATAATTTTACCACTGTATAATACTCCGTAATAACTATTTTTGTCATTTGATATTCTCATGTATCTATGCATGACATTGTCCATGTCCACACACAGCCTGATGTTACAGCTCCGGGGCTTGACATTCTCGCTGCTTATCCACCAACTATTGCAAAAATGCCATTTGTCATTATATATGGAACATCAATGTCAACTCCTCATGTCTCCGGCGTAGCAACTCTTGTCAAAAAGCTAAACCCAGATTGGAGTATTGCAGCTATTAAATCCGCAATCATGACTACTGGTACTTCCTCTAGCCCTATTTAGTAAGCTCAATCTATAACAACATTCAAGTATATTTTTATAAGATAACTCTTGAATACATAGCTTTATTTCTTATTATTTGCAACAAAAGAAATATTTTATATCACAAATAATACCCTTTATTACAAATAATAAAAAACGGATGTAGTAAATTATTTGAGGGGGGTGAAAGGGTAGTATGTACTCAATTGGATTGCAAGATACTAAGGTAATTGTGGATGTTATCACTTTTAATTAGAAATATATATATATATAAACTATGGGGTTACTTGTAGGTGTTACTTGTATTCTGGGGTTACTTGTATGAGTGTTACTGGTTTTGGTCGGGGTTACTTATAGGGTGTTATTGGTTTTGTCAGGGGTTAGTAGGTGTTACTCATATTTTGGGGTTACTTGTATGGGTGTTACTTATTTTGGTCGGGGTTACTTATAGAGTGTTACTGGTTTTGTCAGGGGTTACTTGTAGGTGTTACTTGTATTCTGGGGTTACTTGTATGGGTGTTACTGGTTATGGCCGGGGTTACTTGTAGGGTGTTATTGGTTTTGTCAGGTGTTACTTGTATTCTAGGGTTACTTATATGGTTGTTATTGGTTTTGATCAGGGGTCACTTGTAGGGTGTTACCGGTTTGGTATGGGATTTTGGTCTGGAGTTACTCAGAATATAAGTAACACATACAAGTAACCCCACGATACAAGTAATCCATACAAGTAACCTCATAATACAAGTAACACTCTACAAATAACCCATACAAGTAACTCCAAAATACAAGTAACCCTAAAATACAAGTAACCGTGCCGCACCATGTGGCTTGCCGCACTGAAAAACTTCTGATAAACTAAATTGGGACTAAAATGTGGTACGTTTAGTTTGTTTATACCTAAAAGTGGGAAGATTGCGTCCAATAGAGTACATGCATTTTAGACAAATAAAAAATTTATACGTATAGGATCATGTACGTTTAATTTAAACCCTAACTTTGATCAGTATTTAATGTAATTAATTCGTAATTATTAACAATACAGCAAGCCCCCTAGACAACAGAGGGATGCCAATACGTGATGAAGACTTGGTAAGTGAGGCAACACCATTTGCATACGGGTCGGGTCACGTAACACCCAACAAACCAATGGATCCTGGCTTGGTCTATGACTTGACCCTAAATGATTATCTTAACTACATTTGTTCAAGTACTAATCAGAAGAGTACAACCATGAAGGTGTATACCAACGACCCGTCTTATAAATGTCCACCCTCCTTAAATATCTTGGATTTCAATTATCTTTCCATAACTATTCCGGATTTTTCCGGCAATGCAATTGCTACTCGGAAGTTGAAAAATGTTGGACAACCAAGTACCTACACTTCAAAAATCGAAGCACCACCTGGGGTGTCAATCGTCGTGGAGCCTAATACTTTGGTGTTCTCTACAAAGAATCAAGAGCTGAAGTTTAAACTTACGTTCACGGCTGATCCTAACCGTCTTCCTAAAGATCATATATTTGGAAGTTTGGTTTGGTCTAACGCTAAACATGTTGTAAGAAGTCCTATTGTAATCCAGGCCAAAAAAATCTAAACATAGTTATTAGCCTTTTTATTTTTTTATTTATCATTCCCTATGTTGTATAGGAGGAATGAATTTAGTATGTGCAGTGTGTTATGTTTTCATTCTTAGAAGAAGTTTCTAGGGTTTTAATCTATGGAATAACTTTCCCTTATATAAGAAAATCACTTAAATTTTAATACGAAGTAATTAACTAGTGTATATTATTCCAGGCAATAACCTTGGTTGTTACTTTTCTTAACTGTTTGTTTGATGAGGAAATATTAAAGTTATGATGTGTCAAGGAATTGCATGATAAATACTTGAAAGCTTTTTAAAAATTTGGGATAAAAAAAATCATAATCATTCAGAGTTAGGGTTAAAAAAAACATGTGATACTTTCTGGTATTAGTATAGATGTGATGGAGGTATAATAACTGATAGATATTATATTTAGGATAATATTTGTCGCAGATTAGGATATATTAAATGTATATTGTGTATGTTTATCGTATCTAGGATTCCTAATGTAATTAGGCCTAGCGTTGTAAACTCTATATATTTTATCAATGGTACACACTCCAGATTGAGGAGTTTTCCCGAAATCTAACTTGGTATCACAACTTAGGTTTTATATCTCAATTTTTTAATTTTTTCCATATTTCTTTGGTTTTTTGTTTTTAATTGGGACCTACCTTAGTCACGTTTCCGCAATTTCTTTTTCCCCTGCTCCACTTTCTTTGGCTATTTTATTTTCCCAGATTTCGATTCACATTCACTTGCCTCCTTTTTTAGTTCACTGTTACATTGAATTATCATGGCAAAGGATGATGACACCCCTCCTCCGCCATCTCCGCCACCTCACACGTCGGAGTTTCACCCCGCCTTGGCAGTGAGTAATATAAAGAATGCTATACCCCTTGTTCTTGACTATGAGAAAGTTCAATACTCCAATTGGGTGGAGTTATTTGAGAATCATGCTTGTGCGTATAATGTGCAGATCACATAGACTCTACTGTATCACGGCCGACGGATGTATCGGACTCCTTGTGGAAGCGCCTCGATGCAATTGTCAAGCAGTGGATATATGGCACGATCTCCACCGACCTTCTCAACACGATTTTAGCCCCAAAATCGACTGCTCAACAACTATGGGATCGCATTAAAGAAATTTTTCAAGATAACAAGAACACTAGGGTCGTCTATCTTGAAAATCAGTTCAACTCGCTTCATCTAAGCACCTTCCCCACTGTCACGGCGTACTGTCAACAACTCAAGAGCCTTGCCGATCAATTAGTTAATATTGATCAACCCGTGACGGAACAAAAGTTGGTAATCCGACTAGTTTCCGGCATAACTGGCACAGATTTTGACATAGTTGCTACTATGATACAGCAGACCGATCCTCTTCCTTCGTTCAACACGGCTAGATCGAGACTCCTTCTTGAGGAATCTCGGCGAGCAAACGACCATACCTCACCTCAATCCTCCTTTGTCGCACAGCCGGAACAACATACTAGTTCCGGGCAACAATCGCAGCAGCAGCCCACGGCTGGCCGTGGAACAGGTGGCGCCAGCAGAGGGCACGGTGGCGGCAGCCAGGGACGAGGTAAAGGGAAAGGCCGCGGCACTCCGAGTCGAGGGTCCTCTTCTGGGCAGCAACAAAGCACGCCCCAACAACAGGGTCAACAAACCCAAAATTGGCAGCAACAAGGTCAGCCCAATTCTAATGGCCAAACTTGGGCCCCTCCATCTCAATGGCCCAATTGGCATCAACCCCTTTGGCCTCAAGGGTGGGCTATACCACCAGCTCCTTTTCCAACTGCTGGGCAGTTTCAACCAAGGCCCATATATGGTCGTGGGTCACCTCAGCAGGCCTACACAGCAGGCCCGTCCACTTATGGCCCCCCTATGACTCCTACGGAGTTTGGCAGTGCGTATTCCTCGATGAATTTCACAACACCGGACAACGGTTGATATATGGACTCCGGGCCACATCTCACATGACTAATAATGCCGGTACACTTCTTTCCTTTTTTAATTTAAGCACTAATAATCATATTTTAGTAGGTAATGGTCATCGCATTCCAATTACCGGTTAAACAAAATTTTAATCTTCGAGCAGCCATCCTGTGGACCATTAGTGACTTCCTAGCTTATGGTATGTTGTCTGGTTGGACCACAGCGGATAAGAAGGCTTCTCCTTATTGTATGGATAAAATCAAAGCATTTTGGCTTGAACATGGTGGCAAAGTTTCTTGGTTTGATTGCCATCGCCAATTCCTTCCAACAGATCACCCTTTTCGAAAAAGCAAAACTGCATTTTGTAAAAACAAAGTCGAAAAAGGTTCACCGCCACACATCATGTCAGGTGAGGAATTGTGGGAATGTGTGAGACACCTTCCAAAGGCAACTGATGGACCGGAGGCATTGAAACACCTAAAAAAAGCAAAAAAAGGGTGGTTCAAGCAAACCTCGTTGTGGGAACTTCCTTATTGGAAGCATTTGCTCATCCGTCACAACTTGGATGTCATGCACATTGAAAAGAACTTCTTTGATCAGCTAATCCACACCATAATGGATGTGGAAAAGCATACATGTGACACGCCATCAGCTCGAAATGACATTGCCAAATATTGTAAACGGCCACAACTTCATATGCATGAAGATGATAGAGGAAAAGATTTTATGCCAAAAGCCCCATTCGCTCTTGACAAGGCTCAAAGAAAAGTGTTGTGTGAATGGGTTAAACAGTTGCGTTTTCCAGATGGATATGCCTCCAATTTGAGCAGATGCGTAGATTTACAAGCCTATAAGCTTCATGGAATGAAAAGCCACGACTGTCACGTGTTCATGGAGAGGTTGTTGCCCACTGCTTTGAGGGAATTGCTCCCTACCCATATTTGGAATGCGGTTATAGAGATCAGTCAATTCATCCGTGATTTGTGTTGTTACAGAATCACATTTAGTGACATGGAGCGATTAGAGAAAAACATAACTGAAATCCTTTGCAAGCTTGAGAAGGTTTTCCCTCCTGCATTCTTCAACTCTATGGAGCATTTACCTATTCATTTGCCATATGAGGGCAAGTTATGTGGTCCTGTTCAATATAGATGGATGTATATCTTCGAAAGGTAAATCAAAGTCCCATTAACTTCTTTCATACAAACCCTTCATAGTCATGACCTATTTACGCAATTAATTATAATACTTTAAATGCAGGTTCCTTAATCACTTGAAACGTAAAATTGGGAACAAGGCTCGAGTTGAAGGTTCAATATGCAATGCTTATCTCACCGAAGAGATAGCAAACTTTTGCTCAAATTACTTCCAGGCGTCAGTTGACACAAAAACTCGGGATCTTGGTCGAAATGTGAATGTAGACGTGGAATCCACATTAGACAACGCTGACTTACCGGAGTTGTTCTCGGTGGATAGCGGTCGTGTCTCATCTGAGGGTAAAACTCGGTACTTAGATGAAAAGGAACTCGAGTGTGCTCATTTGTTCGTTTTACGAAACTGCGGAATTCTTGGTGAATACGAAAGGTATACGTGGTCAGGATTGAAATTTATTCATAGTTTTGAAGAATTAATTTGGTTGAATAACTAATTTATCTCGTGTCATTGACCTAATAGGAAGTTTAAGGACTACGTTCTTAATACCCGACCTTTTTTTGCGTAGAGATGAAGTCATGGAGAAATGTGACGTCGAATTCTCTGATTGGTTTCACCATAAGGTGATAGAATTGTTCTACCTGTTCTTTAAATATGACTTTTAGATATTGCAATTCTCTTTAATTAATTCTTCTATTCTGACGTAAATAGGTGGTTGAAGAGAAACCAAATTTGAATGTCCTCCAAGCATTGTGCATGCGTCCTTTCAAGCGTGTTCGAACTTGGAGGTGGATTTTTGTTGGTGGATTTGATTTCCATACACATTCCTATGGTAAACACAAGTCTACGATGAATTACGGTGTTTGTGTGTCTAGTGAGGACGGTGGAGAGTACTTTGGCATTCTAGACGATGTAATTGAACGTGTCTACACTGGTCCAAAAAAAGAGTATAAGACTATACTCTTTAAGTGTAGTTGGATGGATTGTGGTAGGGGGATGAACATACATGAACAGTATAAGCTTGTCGAAGTGAATCATACTAAGAAATACCCCAAGTATGATCCCTTCCTATTATCTTATCAAGTGACCCAAGTGTACTACATATCCTACCCTAGCCTAAAACGGGATCGAGTTCAATGGTGGTTTGTGTTTAAAACACAAGCAAGGTCAGTGGTTGATGCTCCAGTAAACCTTGAGTTTTTGCAGGCACCGTCCCCAGAAGTACATGCAACGCTTTGTCCACTGAATGACATTCCTGACTACGACCCAGTTGAGGATGACGACGAAGATGATGATGACAACTTAATAATCTCAAGTGAATCAGATGATGAATCCAGCGTCGACTCTAGTGACAGTGACGAGGATGATGACATCGATGTGTTTTTAGATGTTAGTAGTGATAATAATACCAGTAGTGATAGTAGCGGTGAAAGCCATGAGTAGGAAAATGCGGTTGTTATTGTAAAATAAATAGGATGCATTTGCTTGTACTTTGAATGTAATTGTCGGTTTAATTTGATTGTTATTGTAAAACCAATTAAAGAGTTGGTCGTTCTATTTTATTACTTTTACATCTCATTGTACTTCTAATTTTTGTAATGTTAATAATATCATAGCATGTTACTAACGTTTTTTTCAGGTTGCAATGGTGGGAGGGAAAAAAGGAGAAACTTCGAAGAGAAGAAAGGGAAAGGAGAAAAGACAAGTTTTGATATATGATGATGACGAGGAAATGGAGGACGCGGAAGATTTGGGTGACGACGAGGATCCTCAAACACAGATGCAGATTGAGCATCATGAGCAACAGCTTCAGGCGCAACAGCTTCAGGGGCAACAAGCCTCACAGTCTTCTTAGAGGGTGGTAATAGACCCTGCCACGTGCTGGTATGTATTTAGTTGTTATTTCAATCCCTTTGTATCCATATTTTATATTATGACCTATGGATTACTCTAACATGAACTACTTATTTTCTTTTTGATCTTGTTGTACGTTAAAATAGGTTTGATGATAAACCCGTGGTAAAGGCCATCTCCGGTACCCTAACAGGCTACTATCGAAAGCCTTGGAGGAATTACGGAGAGGTTGATGCTAAAACAAAGGAGCATTGGTGGAACTTGTTTTGTGTATGACATTTTATACTTACAACTATGTATTACTAATTGCGAAGTTTGAGATTTGGTTGTTAACTTTAAATGTTTGTCAATTGCAGAAGCAATGCACATGGGCACCAGAGTTGGAGGACCATGTGAAGAGAACCTTCGAATCCAAGTTCGCATATCGGTTGAAGGACATGTTTCACATAATCACACACAAGATGAAAGGTGAGAAGCCGAGCTGGCTTATCGATGATGTCCACCGGAAGATGATGCACATTGTTGCCAATGATGATACGTACAAGAAAAGGTCCGAACAAAATAAGAAGAACAGAAGAGGCGGATCGATGGACAATGTGGTTGAACGAACCCACTACCAGGGTTCAATTTCATCTGTACAACATGCAAAAAGGATGGTTAGTTTCTTTATAAGGCAAGTAAATAGGTAACAATTGTGGTTTACATTGAAATGACAAGTTTTATTTGTTTTTGTGCATGTACATTCAAAGGCGGCGAAAAACAAAGGACAGTTACCTACTGCACATGAGCTTTTCATGAAGACGCACTTCAAGGAGGTCCCTGGGAAAGGAATGGTGCCTGGTCGGGTCTAAATCTACCGCAAGTGTACGGGTCAATTACAGTAAATATAGGGTGAGAAAGGTATCGTATCCACAAGGAGGTCTACTCAAGTACCAAATTAAGAAATAGAATATTATTTAGACAACGAAAATATGAGAAAAGTAGTACTAAACTATAAACGATTAAGGCTTGCAAACTAATAAAACGATAGACAATAATAAGAAGTAGTTCTAGGTTTCAGGTTTCGCCAATTACTCTCTATAATGTAATTAAACTAATTGCAGGGTTGAACATATATAATATAACAATGATCGAATTACCAATAGTATGTAATCTCCTCTTCCAAGGTAGAAAATGCATATTTAAATCAACATTATGTCTACTTCCATGATCACAACAATTGAAATAAACTCATTAAGAATAGGAATTCCAAAAAACCACCCCAAGTGTATAACTATTCCTAAAATTATACTACTTGACGTTTGATAATCCCACGAACTAGTATTGAAATTTCACTTCCGCTAATAAATCCAATACCTTAAACATACAATCAATTGGCCAGATTAAGAGTACGAATTAAAACAAGATTATCAAATTGCAATTATATAAATCAAACCCAAACAAAGTAATTCAATTCATTGATAGATTATAATGGACTACATCCCTAACCTAGAACAAAGGAAAGCAGCTAGACATGGAGATTAAGAAAACACAATCAATAATATATACATTGTTAATTGCATAATCTTAAAGAGAGAAGAGTAAACTCCAATTATAGAAGTTGAATGCTGCTCAAGGCTCGTCTAGAGGCGTGGTTTGCTGATGCTTCGTCCTCTTCTCCGGCTGCTCTTCGTCTCCGTCTTTGTGTGTTTGTGCTCGCCTTGTGTGTCTTTCGCTACTGCCTCTACTTCCCCTTAAATACAGTATCTCAATTTTGAGGGTTTTTCTTCCAATTCTTTGTGCGTGTGCAACTTCTGTTTCTTGGGCCATTAGGGGTTGGTGGGTATTAAATCCCACTACTACTACTTCTTTTGCTTATATGTTGCACGTGAGTATATAGTGGGATTTTGTTTCTATTGTTTTGTTTAGTCTTTGTAAGTAATAAACCTGAAACAATATGAAAGTTGAAATTTTAGTAATTCCTTTGTCAAAATCGTATATTAGGGGTATAATTAAGTAAATGTTATCAA